TTAGTGTTGAGGAAATAGGAGCCTCTCCTCCACTTACTGGCTTCAGCACAGGAAGAGAATGGGAAAATGCCTGGGCTAACGAACTTCATTTTCATGGCGTTTTAAAAAAAATTATAAACTATAGAATCACTTTTGATTGAGGCAAAAGAACACTGCTGTTACTGGAAAAGACATACTTCTTCAGCAAAGTTTTCACTGGTAGGATGGTGATGGTGGACATGCATTTTCCTTCCATGTGTTAAGCTAGGAAGCCCAAGAGAATGTTACCTAGGCAGCTGACACTGCATTCACAAAGCCCTCAAGGACCAGCGGCAGAACCGCACAGATATCACAGGATCATCGGTCTGAATCCAGCTCAGAGGGGTTGGCATAGCCAAACTCCTGCACCCCCAAAGGGGATTTGCTCCACGTCTCTGGTCTGCCATTGCCTCCTTCCTTTTCTCTGAGGCTGTCCCATTCTTCAGAGCCTCTGGGATCTTCATTTCCGGCACTGTTCGCCTCCTCTGGGCCCTCATTGTGCCGGTTATTCTTGCTGTTCTCATCATTTTCATCTTTATAAATGTCCTCTGGTTGCTAGCCGTCACTCCTGGCTGTAGGACTGCACAGAGGAAGTCCTCGACCCATCCTGGAGTGGCCACCTCCATGTAGTAAATGTCGTACACACGGTTGTCCTTCTGTTCCTCCTGGCGCCTGACTCTTGATCCATCCTTGGATACAGTCAGCTGCTCCTGGGTCAACTCCGTGAAATTGCAGAGGACTACATCTGGGTCAGGTGTTTTGCAGGAGCCATTGGAGGTGGCTTCTGGGTTTTCCTACTTGTGGACCAGGTCCACAGCTGGAAGTATGCATCCTTAGAGGCTTCTGGGTTTCCTGTATATCCTCAGACTCCAGGCCACTGGAGGGAATCCCCAGGATCAGTGGCTAGAGACCACCCTGCAGTGGCCTTCCAGCCGGATCTCCTGAGCCAAAGCACAGAGGTCAGGCCGGCTATGCTGCTGGGTGCCCGAAATAGTGCAGGGTGGCTCACAGGAGAGGTTGCACTGGCTGTGTCCTCCTGGGAGTGCACCAGTGCCCCCACCTGGAAGACATTATTCTCCACTGCTCTCTCCAGGTCCTTGGGGGCGTCTTTTGGGCCACTACTGGATTGCGAGGCTCCAAGGTCTTAACAAGTGAAGAGGAGAGCTTTGGCAGGCTCCCCACTGTTCTTTGGCTTCATGCAGGGTACACCTGTCCTGCCTGCCTCCAGGGGGCGCTGTCACAAAGCCTCTTACTGCCGTAGTATTTTTAAGATTACAAATTGAGCCTTGAACAATAGGGATTTGAACTGCATCAACCCACTTAAACATGATTATTTTTTTTTAAGATTTATTTGACACAGACAGAGAGAGAGAGCACAAGCAGGAGGAACAGCAGAGGGAGAGGGAGAAGCAGGCTTCCTGCTGACCAGGGAGCCAGATGTGGGGCTCAATCCCAGGACCCTGAATTCATGACCTGAGCCAAAGGCAGACACTTCACCAACTGAGCCACCCAGGTGCCCCTAAACATGATTTTTTAAAAATAAATACAGTATAGAACTATAAATGTATTTTCTTTTCCTTACAATTTTCTTAAGAACATTTTCTTTTCTCTAGCTTCGTCGTAAGAATACCATATATAATACATATAACACACAAAATATATCTTAACCAACTGTTTATGTTATCCATAAGGTTGCTGGCCAAGAGCAGGCTATTAGGAGTTAAGTTTTGGGGGAATCAAAAATGATATGTGGATTTTCAACTTCACATAAGGATTGGTGCTGCTAGTCACTGCGTTGCTCAAGGGTCGACTGTACTTACAACTCTTCCTTAACAAGGTACTGATCTCTTTTTTTTAATAAGATTTTATTTATTTCTTTGACAGAGAGAGACACACCGAGAGAGGGAACACAAGCAGGGGGAGAGAGAGAGGGAGAAGCAGACTCTCCGCTGAGGAGGGAGCCCCATGCGGGGCTCGATTCCAGGACCCTGGGATCATGACCCGAGCCAAAGGCAGACGCTTAACGACTGAGCCACCCAGGTGCCCCACAAGGTACTGATCTTAATCTCAGCACTGTACAAGCAGCTGCCTCAATCCAACAAGAAGAATCTTTGGGCCAGACCCTTCCTTTTAGGGTATTTGGAACATGTCAAGAATTATACAGTTTGGCAGAGTGAGCAACACAAGAAGTGCCAGCTAAAACTTGCATGGATTGTGTAAAAACAACACAAATAAGAACTGCATACATGAAAAGCTTTACCCAATTGCTGAGCAAAACAGCCACCAGCATGTGTATTACCAAAAACCAGATCTAGTCACTAATTACATTCTGAGATCCTGCAGACTCTTTGCTAGCTGGCTTTAATATGTCCCTCTCTCTGGCACTGGGAACAATGTAGGTGGTTCCTGCTAGGAAGACAGCTGGAACTTGATCTTTCCTTTTTGTCTTAGAGGGGAAAAAAGGGCCCCAGTAATGTTTTCCTCTTCTTAATAAATTGAATTTTTAAAACATGCCATTTGTCTTTCTTGTGATTTTATCCTTTAGGTTCATTCACTCTCAGTTATGTCTGAAAACATCAGCATCCTCATCTCTGCAGTGATAACCTCACCTCTCTGGTTGCTGCATCCAGGCCTTACAAGACCACGACTTGGTCCCACAGATGTCCCAGGTTCTCCTTTACTGACTTTCTGAGACGGCAGACAGCCCTTCTCAACTTGACCCCAACTCACATTTCGTTTGCCTAGCTCTTCACCCGCCCTCCCTGATCAGTATATGAGCTGTACTCACATTGAAAGTAACACTGAAAGTCTTGTTGTGTCTCTGAAACTGCTGCCCTTTGTTTCCAAAGACAGGAGGACTATCCCAACGTCAAAACTAAATGTATTTTTAGCTCATTTATTTTAGTTCATATACAATAAAATTCATTCCTTTCACTGTACAGTTCCATGAATTTTAACAAAGACATAACTGCAGGTACACAACCACCGCAATCAAGATACAGAGCTCTCTCATCACCTCCCAGAAAGTTCCCTTGTGTCACCCCATTGTAGTCAACCTCTTCCCACATCCCCCCCACCTGGAAACCACTGATCTGTTTTCTGCTCCTACAATTTTGCCTTTTCCAAAATGTCTTATAAAAGGAAACTTTGGGGCGCCCAGGTGGCTCAGTTGGTCAAGCGTCTGCCTTCAGCTCAGGTCATGATCTCAGGGTCCTGGGATCCAGCCCCGCCTCAAGTTCCCTGCTCAGCCGGGAGTCTGCTTCTCTCTCTCTCTCTCTCTCTCTCTCTGCCCCTCCCCCCTGCTCATTCTCTCTCCCTTTCTCTCAAATAAATAAAATCTTTTAAAAAAATGTACAATTCAATGGTTTTTAGTATATTCACAGAATTGTGCAAAGATTACCACAATCAATTTAGGACTTTTTCATCACCTCAAAAAAGAAACTCTGAACCTGTTAGCAGACACTCCTCACTTCCCCCCAACTTCTCCAGCCATAGGCAATCAAAATCTACTTTTTGTTTCTATAGATTTGGTTAGACTGGACACCTCATATTGATGGAATCATACAATATGTAGGATTTTGTGACTGGTTTCTTAGCATAATTTCAAGATTCATTCGTGTGGTTGCATATATCAGTATTTCATTCCTTTTTATGGCCAAATAATACTCCAGTGTTTGGATATAATACATTTCATCTCTCCATTCGTTGATGGACATTTGGGATGTTTCCACTTTTTTGGCAATTATGAATAATGCTGCTATGAACATTTGTGGACAAGTTTTTGCATGGACATGTGTTTTGTTTTTTTTAAGATTTTATTTATTTGACAGAAAGAGACACAACGAGAGAGGGAACACAAGCAGGGGGAGTGGAAGAGGGAGAAGCAGGCTTCCCGCCGAGCAGGGAGCCCAATGCAGGTCTGGTTTCCAGGACCCTGGGATCATGACCTGGGCCGAAGGCAGACGCTTAATGACTGAGCCACCCAGCCGCCCCGGTAACTCTATATTTAATCATCTGATGAACTTCAAGGCTGTTCTCCAAAGTGGCTGCATCATTTTACGTTCCCACCAGTAATGCATGGAATAATTGTAACCACCTGGATCTTCCATCGAGCTGTACACAGTGCAGGAGCTAAACCAATATCTCTGCGATTGCCGAAGTGTGAATGGAGTAGTGTCTGGAGTATTGTACTGGCTAGGCAGAAACAAAGGAATTAGGGTGTGTATAACAACAGTCTACGGTGGAATGCAGAACCTAGCAATATTCTAGGGTGAGCAGCATTCCCTTGGTCTCCTACACAACCACAGTCCTTCGGGTCCTCCATCCTTCCTCCAATTTCCAGGTCTGAGTGTCGGTTCAGCCAGGCAGCTAGTAGGGTTGAACTGGTCACATAAAACAGTGGTAGAAGACTGAGAGAAGACTGAGAAACAAAGGCATGACTCCCACAGCTCCATCAGAATCCACAAGCCACGCACCACGAGATGCATAACTAGTTCCACATCTCAAGCTGGTTAACGGCCCCCTCTGCGCCTAGATCTCTGTTTCCCAACCCTGTGTCCTCCTTGGGGTATACACACCCCATCACAAGGCGACAGTCCTCCCGGGTATCGGTGTCGTGGAGACTGAAGGGCCTTCAAGATCCCAAATGATGATTTTCTAGACATAATTTATATATTAAAGCTGCCTCGTGGGGGATATTTCTTGCTGTTGGGTTAAGTGGTGAACTCATCTGTCAAATCTCCTTGCTATACCAGAGCATGCTCCCCTCTTAACAGGAGACCTGACTGCGGTCCAGTTGGGCTGGGTTGGGCCTGGGGGCGAGGAAAGCCGCAGAAATCTCAGGATCTGGTAAGAATGCGGTAAGAGACCGGAAGTGGGCTCTGTCACCATGGGAACCGAAGACTCACAACTTCCCAAGGAGTCAAATTACTGAGTCTGCGCAGTCCTGGCCTCATCATTGGCTACGCCCCCAGTCTCCCCTGCTCCTTCGCTCTCGGGTTCGGATGGAAAGGTGGAGACTCTGGGGAAATCCATTATGACGAATACTACAGCATCCTTTCCCGTGAGAAACTCACGATGTAGTTGGAAAGACGATATGAAATCAAACAATTTCAATAATTTTTTAAAGTACCATCAATAATAGAGGAATGCAAAGTTCAGAAAAATTTGACTCGCTCTGAAAGAAGATCAAGGAAGATTACCCGCAGAGGCAATTATTGAGCTAAATTTTGAAAGATGATCCGGAATTATTCGGAGGACAAAAAGCGTTCGTGGGTTGAAGAACATTCCACACAGAAGAACATCATGAACAAAGACGTGGAGGTATCAAACAACATGTACGTACTGGCAAGGTGGGGTTGGGAGGCACAACGTGGCAGCCACCAGGACTGTTCATGTGGTATCAACTGCTGGGCTAGAGGGGTGGTTGCTGAGGCTAATGAGGTAGGCAGGAGCCAGGTCAACAGTAGAATTGTATGTCATGCCAAGGAACCGGGGTTTTCCTTTAAAGATGACAGCCACGAAGGCACTTTTGTCAGGGAAGCATTGAGTCCTGCCACAGTCACCCCTGACTATATGTCTCAAACCATTCCTGATCTGGTTCCCCTCCTGACAGCTGAACTCTAATTCTGACCCTATTTTTCTAAGCAATAACAAATCTGACTGTGATAGTTCATAAGAGGATGTTGTGGATTCCAAATCTGTCCTGAACATATGTGAGGGCAGTCCAGGTGAAAGGGCGGGGCCAGGATGGCTAATGGGCCAGATAATCCAGACATTCCGTTCTAGTGGTGAGACAGTTTAGCAATGGAATGTCCAGGTATAACAGATGCTGTATTGCACTGCCCTGTTGCCACTGAGAGACATACCAGCTGCAGGTAATGTTGCTAGGAAATTCACCAAGAGGCTTTATTGAGAATCTTAAGCAGATACCAAAAAAAAAAAAAAAAAAAAGTTGGTGAAAAACAGTGCTAAAGGCAAAAGGATTAAAGCCAGGGACATTTAGTTGTACTGAATGATTTACTGATTGGCTGATTAATTGGCCAGAGCTGGAAGATTTATTTAAAAATAAATCCTATGGGAGAGGATGTTAATTACACAGTCAACATAGGGTAGGAGATTGGTCTTTAAGGGGAGGATTACTGCCTCTTCCCTGAGAGTAGGTGGGAGGAGGAAAAGAGGCTTGGCATTTCCACGTTTGCCCCTGCAATTCTGAAGGTATCTGTCCCTAGACAGGTCTATAGTATCTTTGAAATCTAAATTCAGAACAGCTTATGGGCTTGAAGGGGTTAGATTTACTGTGGAGGTGAGATTGAAAGGATAATGCCGTCCACATTCAGCCTGTCCTTTTTCTTTTTATAGATTTGGGCCTGTTCAGTTTGGTTGTGTCTCAAACTGTGTGTAGTTGGATTGTGGGTTTTTTTAATCTGAGGATCTTTCTATCATATTGAAGATTAAATACATTTACTTACATTATTATAATTTGCAAATCAATATAAAAACTTGGTGAAAGATTCAGGGTTCATGCCTAGATTTGGGTTGAATTAGGTAGGGCAGTGGTGAGGAGGCAGAAATTACACACCAGGGGACTGGGTCCCGTGGGAGTTAGAACTGGTAACTGTTGAAACCACATGAGAATTTATAGATTTTAGAGGCCATTAGGGTGTGATGACAGAGGGACAGAGGAGTTGTTTTGGGGTGATGGAACTTCTCTGGGTCCTGATTGTCATGGAATTTACACAAATCTATATACATGTGCTAAACCTGTAAAAAGTCAGTGTTACTGTATTTGAATTTAAAAAACAGAGATTTACAATTTAACCCCAAAATAAGTAAACCTCCTGTGTCTGACCACCTAAAGTGACATATGTTTTGTTTCTTTAACCAGTCTGATTTCTCTGTGATGTCTCTTCAGGTCAGTGTTTTACCTATAATTAAAAATGGCAGAGTTTATCAGTCTTACCAAGATTAGTACCTGATGCTGCAGCTGTAATAAGATTAGGTATTTATGGTGAGCACTGTGAATCCAGTGGTGTTCACCCAGAGTGCTAACAAATCTCTAAAAATAACCAAAAGGAAATTGTGGGTTGGGGTTAGGGTTAGATTGGAGTTGGGATTCTGTTAAGTTTGAGTGAAATTCATAGTCAATGAGAGGGGAGGGAACTTTGAGCAGGGGTGTTTACAGAGAATGCTGGGAATGGTCCACACTTTAGCCATTTTATATGAGGAGCAGGACCTCCAATGTATTTGCTTCTGACAGGGGGAATAATGAGAGTTTTGATTTTATTCTCTATACTTTTCTGTGTTGTTTTGATTTGCAGTTAAAAACATGCGCTACTTTCATAAAAGAAAAGCTAATGCTGAAAAGGAAGATAGTGAGGTTTATCTTAATAAACTTTTCCAGCAGGCATCCTAAATTTGCATTTTGTTTAGCTTGTGGCCTCAAGAAGAATGGTGCTGCCCTGCCATCTAGTGGCCGTATGCAAAGGTGCCTTCCAACCAGCATTTCAATAAAGCAAAAATTTGTTTTACCAACTTTGAAGAAGACAACAAATGTACATTGTTCTGGGTAAAACTTTGATTTGGTTGAAGACTTATTGATACCAAACACAGATCAAGTATTCTATTTTATGGTAATATCTCATCCTTTGGGCATCATCAGGGAACAAAACTCCTCCACCTCAAGGCTTAACTCTTAAGGAACGACATAAAAATTAGATGAACACTCTTACTGTTTCTTAAAAAAGAATATATTGAACAAAACAACCTTTACTTTAGAGCTTATGGCTTTAAAAAATCAATATCACCAGGAAGAGCCCGGTTTAGTCATAATCAGTAAATCCGGGGCATGGTGTAGCGGTTTCTTACAGTTACGTCTTACATTGGTTTGCTAAGGCTGATGTAACAAAGTGCTACACACTGGGTGGCTTGAACAATGGAAATTTGTTGTCTCACAGTTCTGGCGGCTGGAAGTCCAAGATCAAGGTGTTGGCCCCATTGGTACCTTCTGAGGGCTGTGAGGGAAGGATCCGTTCCATGCTCCTCTCTCTTTGGCTTGTGGATGGCCATGTTCTTTCTCCCGGTGCCTTTTCGCTTTATCTTCCCTTCATGTGTCTCTGTGTCCAAACACCCCCTTTTAATAAAGACACCAGCCATATTGGATTAGTGCCCAGGTAATGACCTCAGCTTAACTTGATTACCCCTTTAAAGGCCCTATCTCCAAATAAGGTCACATTCTGAGCTAGTGGAGGTTTGACTTCAACGTATGACTGGGGTGGGGGGGTGGCGGTGCACAATTCAACCCTGATTTGGCTTCCTATCAGCTGAATCACAATTCTATTTTGATAAACAACAAGCATGAGGAGAGCGATACAAAGAAGGATGCCATTACTATTTCATAAGTGCCGTGGGTGGCAGGGAGTCAGGCTAGAATGGAAGAGGCACGACCAAGAGTGGGGTAAGACCCGTGGAGCATGATGGAGGGTGGGGATTGTTGACCTGACCCACAACGGGTTGGATGGTGTGGAAACCCATTGTGTGGAGTGGGGAGGGGAGGCGAACAGCTGGGCGCAGGCACTAAGGGGAAGTACATGGTCTGGCAGCGGGGTATAGGGACCCATGCTGGGTATAAGAGAAAAGGCAGAGGGGCAACTTGAACCAATGAAGGTCCTGGGAGCAGCTTCACTGGGGTGTGAGAGGGGGAAGAGCTGAACAACTCAACCGCAGAATGTGTGTGTAATCGCTAAGATGTGGACGGGGTCAGGATTGAGCTTTGCCCCTTTAGGCGCTACGGTGGTGTGGGCACATCTGAGCTGGCCTGATTGTGCTGCTCCCTATGAGGGTGGCTAGGCTCTGGGGAGTTCATCTGCAGCTCACACTCCTTCTGGGCGGCCTCAGTTTCTCTCAAACATCAATAGCAACTGGGAAGGTAAATCTACTGGGCTTGGGTTTGTCCCCTCTGCTCTAAGAGTAATTTAACATCATGTGAGAGATTTCTGGTGTAATTCAACCATTTCCTAGGTTGTCTGGGACGTTTATTTGGAGGCCTGGAAGTAAATCCTGAGAGTGTTCTAATGAGGTCCGAAAAATCTTCGATGTAAAGCTCTAAAATCTTATAAGCATCTTTGAAATACATAAATTATTATTAATTTAGCTTTATAGAAAGCTTACACAAGATTAATAAACATATCCTGTTTGCTGGGTCATATGTAGGCAGATAGAGATTTTCTAAAACATGGAAATCACCTCATCATATAGATATGGACATCATAATGACAGTTAATAAAATGAAATTCTAATTGAGTTTTCATTTTATTGCTAAGTTTTCCTTAAGGAGAAGAACTTGCAGAAGGTAAGCAAGAAAAACACCTTGGTTCTAGAAGATTAGAACATATTCAGCAAAATGAACACATTGATATAAATGGTACACAAATGGTCTTTTCTAGCTTCCCTCTGACCCATTATTAGAAATCTGACTGGCAGGTATTTCTGCAATTAATTGATTCTGGAAAATCTGGCGAGCATTGCTCCTCTCTGCCTCAAGAATTGGAAACTGCCCAGTTTATAAATGCCAATATAACAATATCCTTTGAGTGTTTAAAATGCTTTGGGAAAAGTCCTGTCAAATCAAAGATAGAGTTTTGTAATGTATAATACCTGATCTCAAATATTTATATATAAAATACTGATGCCTGTTCTCAAAAAAATATTTTACCTAATTCACAAAGTATGTCAGTATGTGAATGCCATAATCCAAGTGTATGTGTCGGTTGTCTTCCTCTTGAGAACCACTCTCCATGATTTTCCACCCAGGCCTGGACTGAGGGGGTCTGACCTATATGGACTGCTTCAAGAATTTCCTTTGCCTCCTGGCCTCAGGATGGGTCCAGGCAATGGGAGTTGGGGTTATCAGCAGAAGATCCAAAGGTGGGAGGAGAATACAGGCAGATATTTATTCTCCCAGCTTCCTTCCTGCTGAGTTCCTGACAGGGGTGCTCGGAACCTAACCAGAGACCACGGCTCCTGCCAAGTGGCCCCTTCCATAGAGCTGCCTCCCCAAACTCATGGGACTGTCAGACTTCATGCTTAGGGATAATTAATGTTCCCTAACTTATAAACCCCAGGGAGCCGCACCATCAAATGTTACCTTCTGAAAACTCTGCCACATATTTTAAGTAGTCCCTCTTTATTAAATTCTCCTCAAATTATCCAGTTTTTTTCCCCATCCTATTTTTGCCAAGACACTGAATAATATAGTGTGTTCACTCTTTCCTTTGTGTGAACTAAGCAGATGGCAGAAAACACTAACATACAACCTCTGTGAAAAGCTGGAGAGATG